ATTCAGTCTTGGGAACACTGACCACTTTTGTCTCTCCTTTTTTCAACACATCAACTTGATGCATTGTTTCCTTGTGACAGAGGTGTTGCTGACCATCATCACAATGTGCATGTCCTGCCATGCAAGCAGCATCATATTTCCATTTTGCAGACATTTTTCCGCTCTCCCCCTGAATTTCTCTGTGTGGCTTCCTTTATCAGTTCTTGTTCTCAACCTGTTCTAAACTTTTTTTTACTTTCAATTACAAATCCTGTTATGAACCTGAGTCCCCCCCAAAATAATAGGGAGTTCTTGAACAGAAACAGGTCTCCGTCATAATTTTTTGCAACCGCTGGGTTTTGACAAAAGTAATTTTCTGCAAAGCGGTTCGTGGCACCCGCGATACGCTGGAGCAGCTGATCCGTAATGAACAGCTGCAGGAAGTCAGCTGGATGGTCTGAGTCCAGCTGTGCTGCGGAATTCAGTGGTTCAAGGGGCATGGTGAAGGCGTTGTTTTTGGACTACCATCCAGTTCGCTGCCAGCCCAAACCATCCCTACTGCTTCTAGATGCATGAACTATAAATTATAGAAATATAAACAATTGCAAATAATATATATTCTATTGCCGCAATGTCAGGTATAATACTTTCATTTCATTCACCTTCCTTTGCACCAACAAAGCAAGGGTGAGCTCTCGTACATCCATACATGCACATGCACTGCTTACATTGACACTAGTCAGTTTATTCCTCTTTGCTCATCATCCAATTAACTGAATAAATGAAATGAGAGGCAGTTGTTTTACAAGAGCAGACCGGACCAATGTTTTGTGTGTCAATCAGCCCTTCAAGAAGAGGTGACACAGGCTATTGGTGGGCAGTAGGAGCTTTTAGTAGACTGGATCGCAACAGCCAAGGTGATCCGAGAGACGGGCAGAAAAGTATTTGGAATGTCTTCTGGTTGAAAAGGGGAAAATGAGACTTGGTGGTGCAGAAAAACCATAAAAAGAAAGAGATTAGCTAAGAAGAAGTGGGACATTGAGAGAACTCAAGAAAGGAGACGAGACTACAAAGACATGCAACGTAGAGCAGAGGCGAAGGTGGAAAAGGCCCCAAAAAATAGGCATATGATGACATATATGTCAGGTTGTTCAGGAAAGAAGGTGAAAAAGATCATTGCAGGTTTGCCAGACAAATAGATAGAGATGGAAAGGATGTGCAGCAGTTTAGGGTGATTAAGGATAGAGATGAAAATCTCTTAACTGGTCCCGGTAGTGTGCTGGATAGATGGAAAGAAGGCTTTGAGGAGTTGATGGCTGAGGAAAATGAGAGAGGAAGAGGCAATTGTAATGAACCAGGAAGTAACACTGATTTGTAAAAAGCAGTTAGAATGAAATTTGGAAAGTCAGCGGGTACTGATGACACACCTGCGGAGGCATAGAAGCATCTAGAGAGGTGGCAGTGGAGTATTTGACCAGGTTGTTAAATAGAATCCCAGAGAGTAAGAAGATGCCTAAGGAATGTTGGGAATGTGTGCTGGTGCCAACAAGGTTGATGTGCCTTGTGGGAGCTATCGAGGAATCAAGTTGATGATCCACAAAATGAAGTTGTGGGAAGGTAATTGTGAAGCTTGACTCAGGACCAAAGTATTTGTGAACAACAGTATAATTTCATGCCCAGAGGACTACTACAGATGCATTATTTGGCTCAAGGTTGTTGATGGAGAAGTACAGGGAAGGTCAGAAGTAGCTACATTTTCTTTCTTCATCTAGAAGAGAAAGCCAATGACAGAGTACCCAGAGAGGAACTGTTGTACTGCATGATGAAGCTGAAGTGGCAGAGAAGTATGTTTGGGTACTCTAGTACAGGACATATATGAGGGTAGCAGAATGGTGGTGAGGTCTGCTGTCGGTGTGATAGAAGGGTTTAAATTGGAGGTTGGACTGTATCATGGTTCAGCTCGAACCCTCTTCCTCTTTGTAATGGTAACGGATAGGCTGACTAATGAGGACAGACTGGAATCCCCATGGTCAATGATGTAGCAGGGTGCAGGTGGCGGAACATTTAGAAAGGTGGAGGCATGCGGCGGAAAGGAGAGGAATGAAGATTGGCAGAAGACAAGCTATATTTGCATGAATGAGAGGGGTGGAAGAGGAAGAATGAGGCTCCAGGGAGAAGAGACTGCAACGGTTGAGGGGGAAATGGGGCAAAAAAAAAAGATGTTTGCATGTTATTAATTTTATATATTTTAGTGTTCGGGTACACTGCACCCGAAGCACCCCCTCCCCCCCAAAAAAATCACTTTTGAAATGGGGCAAAAAACAAAAAAGATGGTTGCATGTTATTAATTTTATATATTTTAGTGTTCGAGTACACTGCACCCGAAGCACCCCCCCCCCAAAAAAAATCACTTTTAACCTACGGTGGCGCATGACCTGCATCACAGGAAGTTGTTCGCAGTTAGCAGTCTGGAATTGGAGTTTGCGATCAAAGCTGTTGAGATAGAGTTTTTGATGATTCTGATGATGCAATTCACAGATAGCATTGTCAATGAATGGGAATCTGCGGCACCAGGAGCAGCATTTTCAAACGGTACACGCGAGCTTCGATAGTCATGTTTCTGCACTTAACACGCCATAAAAGTGCGTCTCTGCCTCACTGTGTCAGGTCTCCCACTAAGGTAGGCAGTGATTTCCTTGTTAGAAACTCACTCTTGGCTCATATCTAGTTTATTTTTCTTTTTCGTTCATGTTAGGGTCCATTATGAATGTTGGTCAACATGGCGTGTGTGTGTGCGTGTGTGTGTGTGTGTGTGTGTGTGTGTGTGTGTGTGTGTGTGTGTGTGTGTGTGTGTGTGTGCGTGGGTTTGTGTGTGTGTGTGTGTGTGTGTGTGTGTGTGTGTGTGTGTGTGTGTGTGTGTGTGTGTGTGTGTGAATCAAACTGCACTTCTGTACTGTGAGGTGGATACGCTAACCAGTCGTTCACCTTTCCATCCATTTTTCTCATCATAAACTATTAAAATGTATCCTGTTCATCTCAAAATATATTAGAAAAGATTCCCATTTTACTTTTTCTTTTTTTGCATTTTTTTCTCATGACTTCTTGGTGAATGATGGCGCCTTGATTAGCCAGTGACCAGTGACTGGAGGATTCAAGATGTACTTTTTACATTGTCATAGGGGAATGCTTTTCAGTGTTGCTGAGATGACTGCATGTCTCTGTATTTTTGCTCCATCCAGTGGCAGTTCGCTGGAGGTGAAACTATGCAGCCAGAATGTGTGCAATGTTGCAAGCATGCATGAGTGCTGCTGTTTACACAGGAAGCAGCTGCACAATCAACATGCTCACTGTTGAGTGTAGATGGTTGAACCATACATGCATATCAAAACTCTGTATGCTTACAGCAGTGGCTCAACATTCAGTCATTGAAGATAAAATCAAGGGAGCTTGCTTGTGTGCGCTGGTTCAAAAAGCTTCATTATTTCTCACTTTTATCTGAAATTAGGGTTGCAAAACCAGTGTCCACCATATATGCACCAACATCGTTGTTTCTCAGAACCACTTTGTGATTAGCAGAGCAGCAGGAGAAGCCCAGAACTGAAAGCAATTGGTTGTGGATACGCTAACCAGTCGTTCACCTTTCCATCCATTTTTCTCATCATAAACTATTAAAATGTATCCTGTTCATCTCAAAATATATTAGAAAAGATTCCCATTTTACTTTTTCTTTTTTTGCATTTTTTTCTCATGACTTCTTGGTGAATGATGGCGCCTTGATTAGCCAGTGACCAGTGACTGGAGGATTCAAGATGTACTTTTTACATTGTCATAGGGGAATGCTTTTCAGTGTTGCTGAGATGACTGCATGTCTCTGTATTTTTGCTCCATCCAGTGGCAGTTCGCTGGAGGTGAAACTATGCAGCCAGAATGTGTGCAATGTTGCAAGCATGCATGAGTGCTGCTGTTTACACAGGAAGCAGCTGCACAATCAACATGCTCACTGTTGAGTGTAGATGGTTGAACCATACATGCATATCAAAACTCTGTATGCTTACAGCAGTGGCTCAACATTCAGTCATTGAAGATAAAATCAAGGGAGCTTGCTTGTGTGCGCTGGTTCAAAAAGCTTCATTATTTCTCACTTTTATCTGAAATTAGGGTTGCAAAACCAGTGTCCACCATATATGCACCAACATCGTTGTTTCTCAGAACCACTTTGTGATTAGCAGAGCAGCAGGAGAAGCCCAGAACTGAAAGCAATTGGTTTTAAAAAAAAAAAAAAGGAAGCAAGGCAATGAGAAATGATTAGGGTGCGTCAGAGAAGGTGAAGTGAGAGAGAAACATGAAGTTTTACATTCCACAAGAGTGAGTTTGGATCCATCTGGAAGCCTTTAAAGGAGTGGGGGAGGAGACAAGGTGGAGCCTGAACAAGCGGCTGCTGAATATGTAGGACAGAGTCCAGAGAATAAAATAGAATATATATCTATATATAGATATAAATATAGATATCGATATTTGCCTTTGATTTGGTACAAAAAGCAGAAGACGCAAGAAGAAAGAAAGTCATGACATCCACTTATATAGCATATAGCATGAATGAAAAAGACCAGAAGAGCAGACCAAACCACAGTTCTCAGCCGCGGTTTGTCTTTCAGCTCAGGAAGTTGAGGCCAGAGCTGACACGGGCAGTTATTTTCCCCTTATCTTGCCTTATTCTGTCCTGCTTTGACTAAACAAGAGGAAGAACCAGGGAGGAGAGAAGGCGGGATTTGGGTGAAGCTGAGAGTGAAAAGAAAAAGAGAAAGAAGGTTACCGAGCAGTCCAACAGTCAACTTTCAGAAGTTATGATGGAAGCCAATGCTGATTCTCAGGAAACGGGGTGAGTTTGGGATCAGTGAATTGTTTGAAAATCTTGTGAGCAAACTGTATTTTAACAAGGCAATGGGGTGTTGTAAGTGTAAGAAGGGAAAGAGTAGTCATGGGTGGAACTTGGAAGTCAACAAGCCACGGCAGGAAAAACAGACGTGACTCACTAATAAATAGGTCAGTGGCTACAAAAAACAAGTTTCATGGGTTTGCGTCATTACATTTTTTTTTTACATTGTTGCCCATAGATCAGGTTTGTAACATGTAATCTCATTGAGTCGACTTTGTTTTGACGTGAACTTTGTATGGTTTCATACGCACTGAAAATATGCAAGCGCTTTTGACCATGTCTGCCACTTAAGAATTTTGTGCAAGACCCTCACTTGCAGGTCAGAGACAGAAATCTTTGTCATGTACACGCAATGGAGACAAGTGCTGGATTGTTAGTTCCCTTCTCATCATACTTGTCAACTTAAGAGCTTTGATGGTGCAGTACAATAGTATGGCTTAATGTGATTGACCTCTTCGTAAGGCACTCATTGAACTCAAAATTTTAACCGTAGAAAATTCTTGTGGGATATCTTAAGAGTGTTTGTATCTCAGTAAACAAAATAAATAGAATCACCGACATATACTTGTTGCTAATACCTACCTAATAACTCATACCTAATAAAACATAAGTCGTTCACACGACGACGCAAATAGGACACTCTTGAAAAAGCTTCCCGATTTCAAGGCTGCAGTGACGTGAATATGAAAATCATTCTTACTTGCATCTGTGCATCTCAAAATGATTATCATTGCATATAAGAAAGTCAACGTTTTTTTCTGTTGATGAGAGTTTACAATTTATAAAATGCCTACATCACAGTTATACCGTGTGTGGTGCATATTCGTACTGTAGCTGTGATTTTTATGATATTACTTATTTATATTTATCATATATTGTCCATCCATCCATCATCTGAACTGGTCGCGAGCCAATCGCAGAGCACACATAGATAAACAAACATGCGTGCTCACAATTCCGCATAGACCGTCAAATGAACTTTACCATGCATGTTTTCATAATGTGGGAGGAAACCGGAGAATACCCACGCAGGCCCGGGGAGAACATGCAAACTCCACACAGTCAGGTCGAAGCTGGAATTGAACCCATGACCTCTGCACTGTGAAGTCGACACGCTCACCACTGGACCCACTAGGCCGGCCCTTGTTTATTTAGTGACAAGCTATTCCCATTGATTTTGATCCTTGCCTTTGCAAGTGTTTTTTGGTTTATTCATTATTCTGGTGTTGTGCCAGCAACTTTTGTTGTACTTTGTCGGTCTTGCGACCTGTTTTTTTCGGGAATAAATATTTTTATTCATTCTTCCCGTGTTCACGTTTCTGGAGTCCAATTCTATTCTTTCCAGAAGTCTGACACGTATGATGAAATCGGTGGAGCCAAACACGCAACACGTCTGTCTATCTGATGGCATATTTTTTAATTGGCTGCTTGGTAAATGAAGTTGCTCCTGTGCAACACACATTAATAGGACTTGACTGTTGGAATGTCCTTTTTCAGGCTAACACATAAATAAATACATTTAAAACCAACCCCAAAGGATCATGAATTAAATTAATTGCCAAAGATGAAAACGAGGGTTGTTTTCCCTGTAATTGTAGTGAGTTTTAGTTTTATAAATGTAAAATGTAGTTTTAGTTAGTTTTTATGTTATTTTATGCATAATAATAATAATTTAGTTATTTCGTTTGTTTTGGTTGACTTAAATAACCTTGCACATAACATACCCGTACTCTTAATACCAATTATATCAAATGTTGCTGTGACTAAAGACGAAGTCGAGCCCAAACAGAGTTAGAGTGAGTCATTCGTTAGTCATGTGGTCAGGTGATTTGCTGCTTCTGCTCCTCTCATTAATAAGAAACAGTGTTAATGTGTTTACCAGAATGGAGATGTTTAGAGTGAGTCATTCGTTAGTCATGTGGTCAGGTGATATTGCTGCTTCTGCTCCTCTCATGAATAAGAAACAGTGTTAATCTGTTTACCAGAATGGAGATGTTTGGAAGTATTGTGAAACAAACTGTGTTTGTGTGTGTGTTTGTGTGTGTGTGTGACTGAAATTTTGAGAGGAAACAAACCATTCGGTTGTAACCCTGAAGCCTATATACACGACGATTACTGTTGATATAAATGAACTTGTCTTATGACAAAACATTAGAAACCAATGGTTGACTGTTATCAAATGCAAAGTGAAGTGCGGACAACTTGCCAGCATGGAATTCACGACCTTCTGTTTGTCCTTCACAGCCTCACGAACACTCTGACAGGAGCTCATACCACCCCTGCCCTCCCCTCTACAAGGCCATGTCGACCCAAGCCTCCTCCTCCCACCACGAAGTCCTCCCAAATCCCTTCTCGACCTCCCCTACCTCCACCCACTCCTCCGTCACTCCCTTTTACTCCTAAACTTCCTTCCCCGCTCTCCTCGAACCCACCTGCTCCATCTCTCCAATCGCCTCTCTCCCCGACCCCATACACTGTGTCTCCCTCACTTCTCCTCGAGAGCTCTATCAGCGGTGAGCGTACTCCCTCCTTCGCTCCTGTCTCTTCACTCTCACCCCAGGTAGATTCAACCCCCCCCCCTTCCTGCCCAGCTTCTCCCCCTGCCATCTCATCGGCCTCTCCAACACCAATGCTGAGCCTTATAGATCTCTTGGTGGGCAGCAGTTCTGTATGGCTCACCAAAGAACTCAGCCAAGAACAAATCACTTGCATCCTGCGAGAGGAGGCTGCAGGGGTGAGACACCCACACATATGTTTGTATCTCTTCCCAAAAATGTTCACGTTGGAATGGAAGCGGCCATAGTCAGCTGTAGACAAATACAACTCGCAGCAAACTCTGTGGAGTGCTGCTTGTTGCTATTATTAAGCTTCCCTCTGAAAAGTGGAACAAGTTTTGCCACTTTGTAACTGTTGATTGCTTTGAGTTTATTTATTGCTCTGTTTTGTTTTGTTTTCCATGTTAACTTTTATTTGAAATTCAATTTGGTCACTGGGGTGTGGGACAAGAGAAAAAATTGTATTTTAAGGATTTTTTTTCAAGCATTCTTTTCTCAGGACAAGTACATTTACTATGAAACTGCATATTTTAGTATTTTGTATGTGGAGTAGGTGGCACGGTGGTTGATTGATTACCACGTTGCCCTCACAGTGCAGAGGTGCAGGGTTTAATTCTGGCTACGGCCTTCCTGTGAAACTTGCATGTTCTCCCCATGCCTGCGTGGGTTTTCTCCGGGTAAATAATATGTCAGAAAATAGTGTGTCAGATACTCAGATTTACTGTATAATGTCTATAAATATAATTCCTCTTCCACATCAACTTTCTACAACTTGACATCATCTGACCGGGACTTGCAGATCTTTCTGGTTCAAAGCACAGAGGAGCACGGGATGATGCTGTCGGTGCGCCTGCCTGAGGAGGAGGAAACAATGCCAATACACAACCTGAAGGTCAAACAGCACAAGACATGTATGAGCGCCTTCTTATTCGTGTCTACTGTATACAAACCCAGTCAATGTGGACATTCCGGAACCAGCCTGTTTTTTTTTTTTTTTTTTTTTTTTTCCCCTGCAGTTCTTCACTTAGACGGTTCGGCGCTGGTTTTTGATGATATCTACAAACTCATCTCCTTCTACTGTGTCAGCAGAATCATAACATTTAATTTAAGAGCCATACTGGTAGCAGTAAAGCGATTTTCAGAGTAAAAATGGTAAAAATACAAACTATTTGTTGAGTTTTGAATGACAACTAATGCCAATACTTTGAATACTCAATTTTCAAAATGAAGGTCTTCACCATTATTGAGCCTGTATTCCACACAGAGTGACAATATTTGTCACCTTCGCTGATGAAATGAAATGATACAATTTATACATGTTGGCAAACTCCCCATCCAATCTGTTACTGCATTTCATGGTCAAAGACTTTTTACGACGACTTACTTCTTAAAATTACAGAATCTTTGTTGTTGAATCCAATCAGGGATATCCTGGCTGCACCACTGAAATTACCGCAAGCTATTTCAATGGCAACACAGAAAGAGGAGCTGGAGATCATCTCTGCTATGTGTACAGGTACTGCAGATACGTGCTGTATGTTGTTCTATCGTATACATTTTAGGATGGACTGAACTGAAAAGTTCTTAAATTGTAATACGTACAGACTGTAGACAGTGACATATTTGTAAAAGTAGGCCACAATTCTCACAAACAGAAATCGAAGGTTTGGTTGTTTTATTTATTTAATTTTTTTGGTATGGATTTGTCAATCGGAGAGGTTACTAGTAAATGCAATATTACGTTTATATAAATATGATAACTGTTACATATTTTTCTTTGGCTATATTGCAGACTTTTGGACATCAGATACGAACCAGAAGACAAAAAAACAGAACCTAGTTTTGGACCAGAATGCCAACATGGTTTATTTGTATATCAACCCAATCACTTTGGCAGAGACTCCAACCAAGCAGCCAAAAGACTTCACCGAGTCCAAACTACTAATCAACACCCCTAAAAGCATCATTTCCTACTTGCTCAATGGAGAATCCAACCAGAAGGAAAACAGAGACATTAAAAATCAGATCAAGACTAACTTGAACCAGGACATGAAATTCAAGCGGCCTCCTCCCAGGCCGCCCAGCCTGGGATCCGGCTCTGGGATGGGTCTGCTCTTCTCATCTCCCCCGTTAGAAAAAAGCTTTGTAGCTGACAGAAAAGAGGAAGGAAGGGTGGGGGGAGGTGACAAAGAAGAGAGGAAGACAGCGTTGACATCACCTCCTCCATTAAGACCTCCTGTTCCCCCGCAGAGTCGAGCCATCCCCTCGCTGCGCCCTGCTCCTCTACGCCGCACTTCCTCCAGGAACAGTACAGATGGCGGGGACAAGGGCCAAAAACCTGGGATGGGACCTGAAAAGGAAGGGGAAGGACTACGAGAGAAAGCGAAAACATTTCTGGTGGATGAGGGTGTTGAACTGTCAGACGCGAGCGGTAGAGAGAGAGCTGCGAGCAAGGATCAAGAAGAGAACAAACAACAATTTAGTCCTCAAATTTTAGCGAAGAGACCCACTCGACCGATACCTCAGCCAAGGAAGAAACCATCCTCACCTAATGGCCCAAACGGTGGACTGGCCAATCAGAACACTGGGACAAAAGTAGGCCCTCCCTCCCTGGCACCAAGACCAGATGCGTCACTGTACTCTCCTCAGGGGGGCGCCATGCTAGATCCCGACTCCTACTCTAACAGCAGCACCGAAGAAGAAGGAGAGATGAATCTGGAGCAAGATCAAAATCATAAGTAGGACAATAATTCATTCATTTTATTTTTTTCAATTGAGTGTATTAATTGTAGGCAGTGCGCTGGTCGACTGGTTAGAGCATCGGCCTCACAGTACAGAGGTGCGGGGTTCGATTCCGGCCCCGGCCTTACTGTGTGGAGGTTACATTGTCTCCCCGTGCCAGCGTGGGTTTTCTCCGGGTACTTCGATTTCCTCCCACATTCAAAAAACATGCACGGGAGGGTGATCGAACACTCTAAATTGTCCCGAGGTGTGTGTGTGAGCACGAAGGGTTGTTCGTCAATATGTGCCCTGCGATTGGCTGGCAACCGGTTCAGGGTGTCCCCCGCCTACTGCCCGATGACAGGTGGGATAGGCTCCGGCACACCCCACGCCACTTGTGAGGGTAAGCGGATCAGAAGATAGGTGATGGATGGGTGGAGGTATAAGCTGTGTCAGTACTAAAAAAATTAAATCACAATCAAAAACAATATGTCTATAATTTGTAAACTTTAATTGATTCGAAATTTCATGGCTCAGCTTCAGAAAACAGGTGAGCCATGATTCGTTTTTACCTGAGCCGTGAGCAACTGTAATGTCATTTTCAGTTGACAGAAAGTAGCAAAATTCACTGCTTAACTCATATTGCATAAATGTAGTATTAATCAGAATGCCGTGTTTTGACTAGTGGAAGCGTACAGTACATCTTACTGTCAAGAACATTTTGGGTTAGACTTCCCTTTTAAGTGCATAGATACAATGGTCAGTACGACCTAACAGCACCCATGCTGAGATCAATCATGGACTCACACGTTCAATGGAAATCCTTGTGTAGCGTGATTAATTTGTCTTGAACTTCCAAGTTTCTTGAAGGCTCGGACGCAACGTCACGCAATGCATCCACTACCAAACGACTTGACCTATCTGTACTCTGTAGCGCTGTGTCCTACTCGCAACCCCGCGACTGTTGGATGAGATGATCCGCATTATTGGTCCTTGAGGCCCGCCTGTGGGGCAGTTGGCCTCCTCAGATGCAGGAAGCATTCCAACCTCATCAATGGGCAGAAAGCCATCTTGGTCATCAGTGATAGCCCACCGGTTGTTGTTCCTCTAGGCTGATAGTAGTGGTGGAAGAAACGACCCGGCAGGCACAAGCTGCCGGGAGCACATTTCCGCCACTTGGCTGCATTCAGCAGTGGCACGGAAAGAATCTTTTTTGTGACATCTCAAGTTTTCTATATTTCACCCTCCGACCCAGCTTTTCATTTACAGTAAATACAGAGTCTCAATGTCCACATTGAGATCAAACTTGGGTGCAAAAACTCACCATCTTTGTTTTGACAGCGAGTATGCTGCTTCCAGTCCCCGTCCCACAGTTATTCCGGACTTCTTCCTCTTATTCCTTGGCCAAGTTTTAGTATGTGAGATGTAGAGCGACGTCGGGTAGAGCTTCATTCTGCATCCTTCTTTCACCACCATGCTCCACGCTTTAGGCTATGTGCTTCCCACTACTGTGTCTGCAGGCTCAGATCGTTGGTTACCATCAACCACGCCAGGTGCTGCTGTCACCTGCCCATTGGCTGCAATGCGGATGTATGTGTGTGTGTCTGTGTGTGTGTGTGTGTGTGTGTGCGTGCGTGCATGCGTGCGTGCGTGCGTGCGTGCGTGCGTGCGTGTGTGGAGGGAAGGAGGAAGGGTCATGGTATCAAGACACAGAACCTGGGATGTCAACTAACTTTGACCATACCTGTCTTTTTATTTTAGTTTTCCGTCAGAGAATCGCGGCAGCAAAATAAAGAGGATACCAACCACCATCATGTTGGGCAAAGCTCGTTCTCGCCTGTCTACCGTTATCACCGGTCTCATCAATCACGACCGTCGGCTCTCCCAACGCATTGTGGAGCTGGCCAGAGACCCCCTGAGCTATTTTGGTAGCCTGGTAAATGATTTACTTTAAATATATCCAGTAATCATGTTCATGTTTCCAAAATATCCAACGCAAAGAATTAAGTTCAGTTTTCATGTGTGGTTTGTAGGTGAAAGAGCACCGAGCATTTACCCTTGAGACCATGTCCAACCACGCGACTTCCACTGAGCTGTTACAGGAGATCAGACAGATGATGACTCAATTAAAGAGTTACCTGCTGCAAAGTACTGAACTTCAGGCCATGATGGAGCCGCAGCATCAGTTCTCACAAGACAAACTGGGTATGCCACATGTCGTTTATCTTCAGCTCTTGTGCTGTCCTGTTTGCAAAGACAAATTACTGTATGGGATTATATACGGACAGATTTTGCACCTTTTATGACCCCCCCCACCCCCATCCCCACTAAAATGTCCATGCACAACACATCTCTAATAAAACATAAAACATCAATATTTACTTTTTTCCCCAGTCTTCAACCTGTCTTCCACTGCAGAATAAAGTCATTCATTGTCTAATGTTAAAACTATTTGTTTATGCATGGACATTTTAGAAGGCACGGTGGTCCACTGATTAGCAGGTCGGCAGGGTGCTGGGTTCGATTCCGGCCTTCCTGTGTGGAGTTTGCATGTTCTCCCCGTGCCTGTGTGGGTTTTCTCCGGGTACTCCGGTTTCCTCCCACATTCCAAAAACATGCATGGCAGGTTAATGGAGCACTCTAAATTGTCCCAAGGTGTGAGTGTGAGAGCAAATGGTTGTTTGTCTGTGTGCCCTGCAATTGGCTGGCAACCGGTTCAGGGTGTCCCCCGCCTACCGCCCAAAGACAGCTGGGATAGGCTCCAGCACGCCCCGCGACCCTTGCGAGGATCAGAAAATGGATGGATTGATGTACATTTTAGCCACAAATATGTCCAAAGGTTAGTGAATATGAGGAGGGCACAAGGTTTAATATTTGAGGTAAAGAAGTCACCCTAATTTATAACACTGGTAAACAATGTTTTTTTTTTTTTTTTTTTTAATCAGAGATGTAAACTTTTCTCGATTAACTGTGCTGATTCAAATTTTTTTTCTCTAGCACATCGTTTTAATCATAATAATATCATAAGAACAATAATATACAATATACCGGTATATGAATTAAGGGTTAGGTTCAGAAACAGGCGGATTTTTTTGGTAAATTGGTAAAATCCATATTGCGCAGGCTTTTACTGGTCACACTAACAAACAAAAATTAATCGTAAGAACCTGAAGCGCTACAAAAAAAAAAAAAAAACAGACAAAGAGATTTTTTAAATCAGCGTCATCTCTGATTAAAATTTGCTCTTGACCAGTGTGATGAATTAATCAAGAAGTATTTCCACTCGTGGAGGTTATGGGTCAATGTAGATGAAGCAAAAAATAAATAAATAAATCACAGATGCTTGTGATTTGTAACATGTCTCTCTCAGCAAGGTCAACGTTTAGAAGGGTGATTTGTGCTTTATGACCCTGCAGAGAGCATCGTCGAAGCAGCTCTGTGTAAGAGTGTACTGAAGCCACTGAGGGAGCCTGTTTACCGCAGTCTGGAGAAACTGCACACCAACAATGGCAGCCTTAGGCAACTTGCACAGAACCAGGTAGCGCAACATATTTCTAATGTGTGTGGTTTAATCATCGCATGCGCAACCGCTTCTTTTAAAAGGAGGTCTGTGCAATTTTGTGTAAATTAGTCTGTAGTTCTCGGCAGTACCACCACAGCTCTGGGAGTCACCACCGCCATCCCAGAGGCCTCTGCAATGGAGAAGATTAGCGTGAAACTCAGTAATCTGCATCTTGAATACTCTCCTCCAAAGAAGATTGAGCTCCTGCTCAAGGCCTGTAAAATCATCTACGAGTCCATGTCTGTCAGCAGTCCAGGTAAGTGCCCCAAAAACTAAAACAAAAATGCACACTTTATTATTATTATTATTATCATTATTATTATAATAATACACTGCAAAAACGTGTGTCATCGAGGCAGTACGGATTTGAAATATTATTGGTTAAAGAAACAATCCCATTGTCAATATAGTTTCCTTTAGATCAAGGCAGCACTACTGATTCTGAAGATCCTGGGCAGCAAAGGTTAAAATGGCAACACACCTCACCATATATTCCACAGCATTTATAAAAGGGCATGTGATTGTAATCATTCCATGTTAGTAATAAGAGTTGGTTTGGGTATAAACTTTGAGTCATGTTCCTCGGGAAGTATTTTGAAGCTTGTAGATGTCCAAATTGATTTTTTAAAACACATTTAAAACAATGGCTGTGTCCGAATGTGCACACTCATCCCTATATTGTGCACTATTATGGGGTTATGCCATTTTGTTGGGGTGTCTGAATATCTAAAAAATGTAGTGGACTCAAAGTTACCCACAATGCACTTGGAAAAGTAGTGAGCATCGATCTTCACTCAACAGCTATTCATAGAGACCATAATGCATTGTGAGCAGGAAAACAACAATGAAAGCATGAATATCAAAGCGATATAGTAACAATATATCACTGAACTAATTAATTCCTTTTATTTCATTGAAAATATATACAACAAAAGATATAAAATAAAATAAATGTGTTATTAAAAATAGTCTGCGATCTTAATGCGCCTGTGCGTCATGACAGGTACGGTGGTCACATGATATGTGACGAGGAGAAAGTTAGCTGGCTGCCCGAATAGCCAAACAGAATGAGGGATGACTATCCAGTTACCGGAGGTGGGCATTACGTCAATACTGGTGGGAGGTCCGTCAGTCCGTCACTGACGGATGCCCGTTTTGCTGTCGATTGACACATGACGGGAAACTTTAAAAAAAATGACCGACAAAGCACTGACGGAGGTGCATTTTGGTCCGTGGGTGTAGTCCTCTGAGTCGTTTCCGCGACCCTTGTGAGGATAATCGGATTAGAAAACGGATGGATACATGGATAGAACTTACAAAGAATTTAAAAAATACGCAAAAAAAATTCAAAATTCAAAACAATGGAATGGCCAGCGACTGGGCGTCTTTGCGAAGCGGTGTGCGGCTGTGTAGGGACAAAAAAAGAGCAAACAGAATAATTTTGAGTCGAGAAAAGCAGAGGGAACAACTAAGATTGCCATCAAATCCATCTCTGCAATGCAACTCCCGTCTGCCTGTTGTTTGTTTACCTCCACCATCGCTGGAACGGATGGCCGTCTTATCCCAGTGGACGGCTCCCCATGCGTCTCCCACATTCAGGGTTAGATGACATTGTGGCATTGTATTACTCTTTGGCAACATACAAATTGGATATAACATTGTCTGCATGTCCCCAAACTACTCAAAATTAGGTGAAATATGTTGATATAAAAAAAAAAAAAGCAAGCTAGCTTTCAACACTTTTGAGGCAGTCAAAGATGAGCTAACACTAGTAATTTATGATCATGATAACTTTGCTAAAACAACATATTTTTTTGTAGTGCTGGATATAAATATAAAATGTTCAGTAGTGTGGCGGCCTGGTGATCGACTGGTTAGCGCGTCGGCCACAGTGCAGAGGTGCAGGGTTCGATTCCCGCTCCGCCCTCCCTGTGTTGAGTTTGCATGTTCTCCCCATCAACCTACATGCATGGTAGGTTAATGGAACACTTGAAACTGTCGCAATGTGTGAGTGTGAGCGCGGATTGTTGTATGTCTATGTGTGCCCCGTGATTGGCTGATGACCAGTTCAGGGTGTACCCCGCCTACTGCCCGAAGACAGCTGGTATAAGCTCCAGCACGCTCCGTGACCCTTGTGAGGATAAGCGCATCAGAAAATGGATGGATGGATGTTCTGTAGTGTTTCAAAATGACCAATGCTTTGTGTTCAAAATTGTTTCAAAGTGTTTAGAATATATTTATTAAATTAAAAATCTTTTAATTAGAATCCTTTTAATTTTCTGAACAAATACAAATAAAAAGAATTGGAAGTTGTTTAGACGTCAGCTAATTCTTCCACTGTGCTTTACTCATTTTTGTTTTTTTTTAGTATCTGTTCATTGTCTGTATCAAGGCACGATATGCAGGTATAATATCAAAGTCAAAATGTTGGTCTTGTGACTACACTACCAGGAAGTACATGAAATTAAATCAACTCTCCTCTAATGTGGTGACAAAAAGTCTGCATGATTTCACAGGGCGGGCCCATGGAGCTGATGACTTCCTGCCTGTAATGATTTATGTCCTGGCTAGATCTAATCTGTCAAATTTACTGCTGGATGTGGAATACATGATGGAGTTGATGGACCCTGCACTAACAATAGGAGAAGGTACAATATTTGCTTCCTTTCACCTTTAAACTATCTGCCCCTGCAATGACCTTTGTTGTTTGTAATATGTGTGTCTGTATGTATGTAGGTTCATATTATTTGACGACCACGTACGGCGCTCTTGAGCACATTAAGACGTTTGACCGGCAGAAATCAGGCCCACGTGAGCTGAGTAAGGAGATTCAGGACTCCATTCAACGGTGGGAGAGACGACGCACGCTCAACCTGGAATGGTTGGACCAAAGATCTGTTCAGGTAGACATACTCTCATATTCTCAAGCACAAAAAAAAAAAAATTAATTTAAAGGCTAGGGTTGCATGTTTATCTCAGGCAATACAGGCCAAATAACTTGAACAGAAAAAGTAAAGACTTTCCAATCCATCCATCCATCCATCAATCAATCAGTGAGTGATAGGTGGTGCATTCCAAACAAAAATGATCTTTTTAATACGGACAAAATATGTGCATGTCTGTTTTTTTACATTTTTTTATTATTATCAAACGATGGGTAAAACATCATGGCTGTTTGTCCAATTACACCGCCATAAGCGTTTGTAGCACTATTAAGCGTTGAGTATATCCATGTTTATGGAGGACACAAATGTACTCAATCCCCATGTAAACCAACTGTCAATGCTCTGGGGGAAAAAATGAAATCACTTTTGTGGCAGCCACAACACGCTTCGCAATTCCAACCTCATGGTTTGGAGGCGCTGCTGAGCGATGGCTGCTATCATCATGTTGACACTGGTATTCCATATTTCAATGGCTCATCAACAGTAAAGATTTTTAGTTTTAGAAATTAATCGAGTGCCACTCCGAATGCAAGTGAGAAACCTTGAGAAGGGGTCGCAGATGGGGGATCCCCCTTCCAGGATGATCAGGTTGCGATGGATGCCGACGGAATGTACGGTACCACCAAGTCAACGAGATAGGAAGGTGCTAAGCGGTGTAATATTTTAAGTACAAAACCATGAAATTGCATCTCGAGTGGACTGGGAACCAATGCAAGTATCGGAGTAATATGATCAAACTTTTTTTGTCCTTGTCAGGAGTCTTGCTGCAGCAATATGTACTTACTGCAGACTTTTAATACTCGACAGGGGAAGATCAGAGAGCAACATGTTACAATAACCGACCGAATCAATCAAACAAATGTATTTGTAAGGCACAACAACAGCTCGCTGAGTGGAAAAGGTTGGCCGACCACGCCAAAGTAGTTATTAAAATATTGGGAAAGCGGTAGCTTGCTAGATAAAAATCATCTTGCTGTATGAACAGACAATTACACAAATTGACATGAACCAAATATACCTTCTAAGTAGTTTTGAACCACTGAAACACAGTTCCTGGAATCTGACAACACATGCATGTTATTTTGACTGCATAAATGTTTATAGTTGTAACTCTTGTGTTTATGGGTGTTGTGCAGGAATTCTTGACAGTATGCTCTCCTGACATTGGAAGTAATCCCAAAACTCTCGGCATCCTTCCCACCACCACAGTCCAACAGCTGACCGAACAGTGTGCTGCACGCTTTGAACAAGGTAGATGTCACTGAAATTCAAATCTGTGTGTGGAACAACCTAAATAGATCAGTGCTAAATGCGTAATACTTTGGTGTCCAAATACTCTATATCTGATATTTTACCATGCTTTAGTGTAATTACGGGACCAAAATATTGTCTAGTAACACTTTCCTTCACTTCCAAAAAAATCCTTCTGTCTGTCCTCCAGATTCATACATCCTCAGCATCTATGAAAATGGTGTTCGGCGGCCCCTGGCAGCTGCAGAGCTGGCACTGAGTGTGAAGAACAAATGTCAACCAGGAACATATTGCTTCATCTATCACCCCATTGACCATGGATCAATCCAACATGCCTGGTCTGGCCGCAGCTGTCCCACTAGCCCGCCCCCGAGACCCCCACCACAAAGCGTTTTCCAAAACATTTCAACTGTCGATACTGAAAATACAGAAGAAGAGGGATGTCTGATTAGCTGGTAATTGCTTCACTGCCGCAGCAGCTGCTGTTGTATTGCTCTGTAACCGCAACACTGGTGCTGAATGCAAAAGCGAACATTTGGCTTCACCTGATGCTTTGATGAAGCCTGGAAGAATATCTTAAAGGCCTCATGCAATGTATTTTTTCCCCAATTGTTTATGAATAACATCGGTCAAAATGATTCTGACATGGTTTAAGATTGACATCTATGCAGTTGGACGTCTATGCAATAGGCTTTGAAAGGCAAAGCCATGCAGAAATGAGCAGATTTGAATTTGTGACGTAAGATTGCCCACTTACTTCACGGTTGCTACACGGCCACTCAACTCAGAAAAAAAAATGACTGATGGCGACGACACACCAGCGTCTTGCGTAAAGCTAAAACTTTCCATCAGCTCAGAGGAATCGAGCAATAAACTGCTTGAATTTATGTTTGGGAGAAACTCAAAGTATTGCATTACCATGAAGGTGGGTTTAATGGGACCTTTAATGTCTTTTTGTTTCCAGTCAGTCTCAAGTCCGTGCAATGTTCAAATATAGCATAACATGCCGGCTGTGTGATTAATTGTCTATACGTGGGGTCTGGAACTCCTTTTTGTAAAACTACTTTGTTTATGCTGCAATGCAATGTTAATCATTTTGTTCATGTAATTCATGTTTAATAAGGCTGCGATTGACGAGTGAAAAGTCCAGGGTGTACCCTATTTCTCTCCAAATGTCATATCCTGGTCACCGTGAATGGTAGAAAACGGATGAGTGGATATTTAATTGGGAACATTTTCTGATGTTCAAAACAGTTCCTGTACTTACATTACCAAAGTCAAGACCAAGAAATTCTGTGTGTGAGTCTTCTTCTTTCCCTTTTGGCTGAGCTCTATTGAGGAGTTGCCAAAATGATGCAACTAGAACAAAGGATGCAGAGGAGCGGGAGAGATGGAGAGAATTATTTGCTCTGGTGGTCTTTTGTCATAGATCACCCCTGACACTTTCTTCTACCTGCTCCATCCTGCCTGTACTTTCTTCTTTCCTCTCAATGGTGATCCTAAATCTCAGCAGTTGATCCTTGTTTGTTTACACCATTCTGAACCACTGCATGCTGCGTTTTGAGGGCTCCACCATAATATTTAACAAAATTACATTATGTCTTTGTTTTTGTTGCATAAAAAAACAATGTAGTATGACTAAGGGACTATATTTACATGTTTTTTATTTGTTAAACTATATATATTTTTTTTACATAAAAAAAAAAAAACAGACACGTGTACATGAAAATGCAGCATTTGAACAAATCTGATACTGTCTGCCTCGTTTAAATAACTCTTTCAGAAATCCGTAAAATTTTCTTTGGCATCACACTGGTGACCAAGAGGTCAGTTCTCAAGCGTCAGCGACTGGATTGAATATGGCTACAGTGCCGCGAAAAAGTATTTACTTCCCTCCTGATTTCATTGTTTTGCATATAAATCACACACACACACAAAGGGTTCAACTCAAACCAATTTTAAGATCACTCAGAGACAACCCCAAGGAATACAAAATGCAATTTTCAAATGACAATTCACTTTATTCAGGCAAAAAGAAAATCCAAACCTTTCTGACCCTCTGTGAAAAACAAATTTTTTCGAATAAGGATCTACCAGCGTGAGTTTAACAGTCATCTGTTAGCATTGATGGAATAAAAACTGAATAATTAAACGCAAATACGGTGCCATGTTGACCGAGATCATTTTCCTGACAATAAGCGGGTACAGTATTGTCTCGGCTGAGAGATTGAGTACAATGGTTTTAATAAAGACTGGGAAAACAGGAAGCGGACATCAGCGCTGTATGTTTGTCAACCTCTTTGATGTGAAACACAAAAAGTAATCCAGTTGAGATTACATCCCGGTAAAAACATTAAGACATTTATCATCATGGTTTATTATGTCGTTTATGTAAATGTAAAGGCAGTAAATATGTAGCTTGTCATTGATGTAAATTTACTGTTTTTTTTGTACACAATGTGGGTGGGAAATGCAAATTTGTTTACTTGCAAATGAACCCAAAAATGGAAACCCTCTTCACAAAGTACAGTGCATGCTTTCCGGTTTCTGTGTTCTTTGCTTATTTATCACAAAGGTTTCAGTTCATCAAACCAATTTTCATATCACACAGACACAACCCAAGAAAATACAAAATGCCGTTTCTAAATGATGATTTAATTTACCAAGAGGGAAAACAAATCCTAACTTATCTGGCTCAATGTGAAAAAGTAATTGCCCCCTCTCATTAAATCACAAAGTAACTGCGACGAATGAGTTTTGGGAAAGCCGAGTTAAATCTCACAGACCACACCCAAACCTGATTACCACATTTGTTTAATCAAGAAGGCACATAAATAGAATCTGTCTCAGGCAAAGTGAATTGGCAACAACATCTCAAGAAACAAACGCATCATGCCATGATCCGAAGAAATTGACGAAGAAATTCGAAAAAAAAAGAACACAGAACTCAAGAAGGGGGCAAATACTTTTTCACGGTACTGTAGGTACGATGTTTTAGAAGCATTTTTTGAAGAATAAATACTACATTTAAGTAAACAGTAGCTGCTAAACAAAATGTTCAAATTTATAAAACATCTTGAGTTTAGTTTCCCTTCAAATACGGCATCATAAATTATGTTCAGTCATTTCATATCATTCCACAGGCCTGCATGAGAAACTAGTCCATTTTCTGATGACCCTTTAGCACCTAAAAACATCCATAATATCTTACGGCGGGCACAGCAGATGTCATTTTTCATGTTTACGGTGGTATCAACACCAGTTTGTCCAATCTGCCAATCATCTCCTGTAGCTTCATCCTGTTGGCCAGTCTCTGCGTGTCCCTCCCCTCCAGCAGCTGTCTCTCAGTTTGAGTAAGCATTCCCACGACCTGAGACGCTGACAGCACGTCTGCCTCCTCGACTGTACCATGGAAACTGACCGAGCAGCTGTTGACTGTCTTCCCAGCCTGGAATCTGGCTCGGTATGCCTGGGAGATGGACAACAGGGGAGGCAAAGATTCGAGAAAAGCCGTGTCATGGCAAGCATCCATGCCAGCCCGAAGTCTCCCTCGTCCGTCCTGAACGTCCCCTCTTGTGGTCTTCTGTCTCTTCTGTTTGGGGGAAGAAGAACAGCCAAGTCTACAAAGCGCTACTTAAAAAAATATATATTTATAATATCAAACAATGTTTGTTATTTTATCACAACAGTCCCAACTTATTGGAATTGGTGGGGTTCCAATTTCATTTTATCACTTTTGCAACGCGTGTGCCACCGAGTACCTGCAGTGTTTTCAGTCTCAGCAGTATGCCGTCCAGTTTTTCTATAGCCGGTTGTCCAGGGAGGCTAGCGATCGCTCCCCTCAGATGTGACGGCCTCTCGGTGACAGCGTCCTTCTCACGGTAATCAACCACACTGTCCTACAAGTGCACAGGCACAAATGCTTTGTGTATTTTGAGGGTTTTGAGGCGTGCATAGCAGGGTCCCCGGAATGCCCCTAAATGGTGGCACCTAAAATCCGTGCGCACGTCAATGACTAGCCACGCATGTGTGACCAATACATTTGGTGATTTGTTGTTGCTGCTGCTAACAAACTTCGGCGATACACATAAGCTCGTTTATCAGTAAGACAGTGAAAATGAGTGGAAATGTGAACCTTGCAAGTTCATTGAGAGTGTGCACCCTGAAATTTTATACTTAGAGCCCCTAAAACTTCAGATTCAGGCCACTATGCGTCTCGTTTAAAAAACATTTTAGTCTGGATCTCTGCAGATGTCCAACTCACCATCCAGGTCCAGAAAACATTCTCCACCTGCTTCCAGTTTAGGTACAACTCAAGGAGGTCACAAACTTCCTGCGCACCAATGCATGCCTAAAACACAAAACACACAGTGATGTAGATGCGGACTTTGCAACGTTAGTTCTGTTTTGGTAACAAGTGAATTTGAAGGGTTACACCTTCCAAGCATAATATGCTGTTTCACTGTACAGTCAGTGATTAACTTATGTGTACGTTTATACTACAGTTAAAAAATCTTAAAAAGTACAATGCAGCCATTATTTCCATTGCGGTGGGTGAAGGGGAATCCAAATTTTAACACATTGAAAATTGCAGTGTCCAAAATAAAGCAAACTGTGTTTGATCTTTCAAAAGGTGCTACTGTATGATAACTTAATTTATTTGGAATGTGGACGATGTGCGTCCTATTTTAAATACTTTCAAGTCAAATCAAGTCAGCTTTTATTGTCAAATATGCTCTATGTGTAACATACAGCACAGATGAAATTACTTTCCTCTCTCAACCACAGTGCAAACATGTAGTGCATTTAGTTCAGACTTAATAGTCAGAGCTCTAACTTTAATATACTGTACATGTTGCATGACAAGTGGTAATTTACGTCCACACCTCATTCAGCACAGTACAGCTTTGACCTGCGGAAGATGATCGAGAAGGTTGGCTAGCAGAAAAAACCTGGGAAATAAAAACACAAACATTATAAAATCAGTTATATGTGGTCTACACATTAATTCATTTTAGAATTAAGTTGGGCGGCCTGGTGGTCGAGTGGTTCGCGTGTAGACCTGACAGTGCAGAGGTGCTGGCTTTGATTCAATGCCATGGCCTTCCTGTGTGGGGTTTGCATGTTCTCCCCGGGCCTGCGTGGGTTTTCTCCGGGTATTCCGGTTTCCTCCCACATTCCAAAAACATGCATGACAGGCTGATTGAACACTCAAAATTGTCCCGAGGTGTGAGTGTGAGCATGGATGGTTGTTCGTTTGCGTGTGCCCTGCGAGTGGGTGGCAACCGGTTCAGGGTGCCCCCCGCCTACTGCCCGAAGATGGCTGGGATAGACTCCAGCACGCCCTGTGACCCTTTGTGAGGATAAAGCGGATCAGAAAATGGATGGATGGATGATAAAATTAAGTCTGTATTGCAAGTAGACAAGTGTTCTTGCTCACATGACATGCTGTGATATAATATTAGCCAGAAATTTTGTCCACCTTTCATTTCGGCCCACTAGAATTTTGGTTTGATGGTGAAATTTCTCAGTATTTACATGCCCTTGTCAGCGTGTCAATATTTTGGTTTAAATAAAGCGGATCAGAAAATGGATGGATGGATGATAAAATTAAGTCTGTATTGCAAGTAGACGAGTGTTCTTGCTCACATGACATGCTGTGATATATTAAACAGAAATTTTGTCCACCTTTCATTTCGGCCCACTAGGATTTTGGTTTGATGGTGAAATTTCTCAGTATTCACATGCCCTTGTCAGCGTGTCAATATTTTGGTTTATCTTTCAATGCCTAAATCATGCATTAGCAACAGATAAACAAGACCCAAGCAGTTTTTCAAATTTAGACACTTAGAACTTGACAAAATCATCCACCGCACAACAGTAAACTGAACCAACTAGTTGTGTTTAGCAAGTTAGATGAGATGAACTTCCTCACAGCATGTAACAAAGAAGCTCGCTCGTCCTGCATGGCCAGCAGCATCCGTCCCTGGTGTCTCAGGCAACCCATGAGCCACTGAAGCCTTCTCATTGAGCTGCACTCGACCAGGGGCTGCTGAGGAATCTCAAGTTTCATCTAGAAACACAGAAAACAAGATCTCTCATCAAATACCCTCGCACCACCAAATGTAAGCAAATGCATGGGCTCTCTCTCTCTCTTTCTCTCTCTCTCTATAATTTTTTTTTGTATTCCTTTTCAAATAGCTTTGATTGTGTCTGTAAATGTAGTTGACATGTTCTCTTCATGCTTGCCTAGCATTTCATTCAAGTTTCCCTGCAATGAAAAACATAAAAGGTTCATTTCCAGTCAGTGTGATTTGGATTCCATGTTATATGGTTGTTACCTATTGCTCCTCAGGAGTGGGTTAAGGCTTTTGGCAAATGCGAGATAGTTTTCAGCGGTTTGCCCTGTCATTCACATGTCCCAGAGATTTTTGTGCATTGAAATCGAAGGTTTCTGAAAACTCCAGCCAAAGTGGGGATTTGCGGTTATATCAGGATTCACGTTTGGCTGTGGACAGTAATAACCCAAGTTTTACATGTTTTGGGTCAGCCAGTCCGTCACTTCGTCATGTAGCTCCGGCATCAACCGTACTTGTGTCCCTGCAGCACAAATCTTTTTTTTTTTTTTTCTTTCAGTGTCAACGAGCAGCCATTTAGCCACTCGCTGTTGACTGCCAATAACATGACAGTTGCTCAAGGTTCATGTAACAACCAATCGCAGCTTAGCTTGTGAATGTCACATGACCAAACTCAGAAAACAGGTGGTCGTCACCTGAGCCCTTAGGCACTATGATGTCATTTTCCATCGACAGCAAGTGGCAAAATTGTTACCCACGGAGATGGATTAAAAACAGGTGAAGTTTGCTGCTCGACTCATATTCCACAATTGCAATATTCATCCGAATGCTGTATTTAAACTAATGGGGGCGCATAGAACAAATGGAACCTTTTTTACTTGACTTTAAGCCATTTTAGGGTCCAAGGATTGTACAAATACTGTACTGAATGGCATGTACTGTGTGTGACTGTCCCAGTCAGACTTACAAGTATGGGTGGGACAAGTGTTTTGTCCAGTTGTTGTACTCGTCGGGTCAAAAGTTTCTCCAGCGTTCCAGCAGCAAGCAGCCAGCCAAATGCTAGAAGGAGTTCCCTGCTGGTGACTCCTCCCATCTGGCTTCGATACATCCAGCCAGCATAGTAACCACTCTGCCAAAGGCCTGCGCTCACCAGCATCTTGCACTCAGGAGTGACTACAGAGTACAGACATGATGGAGGAAAAACCATAAGCAGCCCTAATAGAACTCTGTTCCGATTCTGAAAAACTAGTGCTGTGCACTGTTTGAATTTAAATGATCCCGGTTCTGATTCCCTGTATCGATACTGCTTCCAACGTATTCCGATTCTTTGAGGAGGTGGAATTAGACAAGTTTGCATGGTTTAAATCAGCGGTGTCCAAAGTCCAAACTCCACCCATCCATTTTAACAAAATTAAGCCACACTTTCGATTCTTTGGTCTTAAGCGGGCTTGTCTGCGACTGACCATTTTTCACCTGTGTGCAGCCAGCAGCGGACAGAGTTCTTGTCTGCAGGGTGTTGGCTAGCAGCTGCCAGAATTGATCCTCCTGCAAAACAAAAAGACAGCAAAAACAGATGCGGAAATTCTCGAAACAGTATAACTGTGGGGATATTGTTCCTATATTAGATTTAAGCAAGTGACCTTTCTAAACAAAACTAGTGTTTATAACAACAATATTCTCTCCTCCAGGGTGTGGGAGACCCTGTGAATATGCAGTCGTGTCTCTGTGCATGAGTGTGTGTGGCTCTACTGCCACTCTGACCGCGACCGCCCTCCAAAATAAAATGTTACATTGCATCATATCAAATTAAGATAGTACTGCTGCGATTGACACAATATTTATAGCTTTGGATTATTTGGTCACTTTCCGACCTTGTAACATTTCAGAAAAAGAAGAAAAACAATCTTTCTGCCCCTTTCCCTGATCAGCTGAAAACCACGAGTGAACCCAAATTCCGATCATATGATCGGATTGGGATATCCCTACTTGTGGCAACTGGCTTGACTAGGTTATCTGCGTGTCGTCCATCCCATTTTCTCCAAGGTGGCCTGCAACATTACGCTGCAAGTGCATAATTTAAACCTTATGAAAAGTGGATTCAACATTTGAAAGCTAAATTTGGCTTTAGTATCCAGAATTATTAACATTGTAGATGTTAATGTCTTTCTGAGTAGCTGTCATTACATTTTGAATAAGTGGAATTTTCATTCAAAACATCTGTAACAGAATTTGAAACAACAGATAGAGAGATATGTCTTGCTTATCGTCAAAACTGAATTACAGATATCTGCGACGTCATTTGACCGACAGGAAATGATGTCACTTTTGCCATTTATGCGTATGGAATCAATTTTTTTGAGGTCTCTGGCATCCAGCCGCCAACATCCACTAGTAAATTACGGCTAGCTGCAACTCAATTGTTGCCATCTATAATGCCATTTTGACTTGTCATTAATTCTCCATAGTTATGTTACTCAGAATCAAATTGTAAATATCCCAAATTTGAATTACAGAGAGACTGTTTCCACATATGCAGTTACTTTCAGAGCAGATATCAGCAAATGGTGTCGACAATGATGACAAACCTCATACACACAAATGGCAAAAGTGATGTAAATGCCATTGCAGATATCTGAAATGCTTATTGTGTATAAAAATAATTTAGTCCATTTCGGGTATCGCAAATGTTCTTTTTCACAAGACAAAACTGAATTACAGATACTGTATCTGCAAGACAAACGAATTTGACGCAATTGTTAATACTATTCGTATTTGGGGTAATATCATAGGTAGGCTACCCAAAGTTACAACAATTACCATTTAAGTATTTACTGCAAATATAATCACAATACAACTTCAAGATTATTAATGTCTTGTCTTGGATACCTCTTCAATTTGAAGAAACGACTGTTGGAAACTTGCCTGACATTGCGTAATGTGGTCCGGTTAACTTCGGCCACCCGGAACAATAGTTTTCGAACATTATTTCGCGTCCATGTGGGGGGAAAAAAGCTCGATATCCCCAAAACACAATATATTTTGGCGATTGTTTTGATATTTTTCCAAGGTTGAAGTGGACATTGGTAGAGATGCGCATGTGAATTTTGATAACGATTGGTCGTAGTTTTGAAACTAAACCATGTTAAGCTTTTTATACATTAAGCGTTTTAGATTGTGCCACCGCTCCGACCGCATCGTCACATACAAGCGGATTAAGATACACTTACCACATTGACTTCACCAAATTTAGCCCGTCTAAAAGTCTCCGGGGCAGGGACATGTTGGAGTCCGGTGGCCGTCAGTAATTTACACAAAATTCCAATCACTTGCTTTACCTCCACACTCGCTTTATGGCGCTGCATCGCACCAAACAGCGAAACGGTTTCCTTTTTGTTAGCAACGCGCTGCAAAATAATACGAGTTTGTTATTTCTTCTCTTGAAATTCTTGACATGTTGGACATTTTTCGGAGCATTACTGCTCTCTTCCGGCCATTAATATGACATCAACTTTCGCCATCGTCATTCTCGCCCCTTTCCCTCCCTACCAATGTTATGTACAGTACATCTCACATACAAATACCTCCTGACTAATAAAGTAAGGGAAATCTCTTTTAAAATGATACACAAATACTATCCCACCAAGCATTTTCTTCTTAGGTTCAAGAAGGACATCCCTGTTGAGTGTTCATTTTGTGGAATGTACCCTGAAACAATGGTTCACTTGTTCTGGCAATGCCAGTATACCAACACATTTTGGAAAGTTGTATGCAGATTTATTATTGAACATATTGACTCTGACTTTATGCTATACTGGAAAAATGTACTATTTGGGTTCTACAAAAGTAAGGAAAAAAACACTAAACAAACCTTCATTATAAATTTAATAATCATTCTCGCTAAGTTCCATATCCACAAATCCAGATGGAATAATTCAAAACCTCTTTTCTTAATTTTTGAAGCAGAAACAAAGCAGTACCTGAGTTCTATTATGGATTCCAAAAACAAGAAAGCTGTTAAGACTCTGGCTATATGCTCCTTATTTGAAATTTTTGTCTAAAAATCCCCTGGCTTCTTTTTTGTTGAAACGTTTGTAATATATGTATGTATTAATAACATGTTCGTTTTGTTTTCTGTTTACTGATAATTGTATTCTGACTTGTTCAATAAAGATTATTAAAAAAAAAAAGGTATGTACAGTACATTCCCACAAACTGTTCCAGAATCAACGTGTACGGTTCGTTAACAACTCTTTGTTTAATTACTATAACAAAATGGTGAGTCTTATGCAATGACTTAATAGAGTTGTGCTCATGAACTGAGAATGGACAACGTGTAGCCTCCTTATTCAAAATAAAGTCAAAAATAGTGATCATGCAAAACATTTTTAAATACAGTACAGCACAATTAAAAAAAAAAACATCGCAGTAAAGAAAATAATGTGGTGCCCCATTCAGTCGTCAGTCATATTTCCCAGAAAATAAAATCTTTTGCAAATTCTGCAGGTAAAACCAATGACCACAACTATAAATAAAAACTGTTGTTAAATGTTTTGTGTATTTCATGTACTGACTCTAGTGAACAGTACTGTATATACCCAACAAGGAAACAATAAATAATTCCACTCGCACGTTTTATCAAATTTGATTAATTGTTGAAATACAACATCACAGCTAATCGATGACGATTAGTTACAATTGGTTACTGTAGGTGCATTTTTCCACATTTAGTCGGTAATAAAACGGTAGAACTTTCTTTAACAATGACTTCATTCTCACAATTCCAGATTAAGCTACTCAGTCATTTCCTATTTCTATTTGCGAATGGTGGTGCATATTTAGGGAGCGATCCAATACCAAGTAAATGCAGGGCCAGGGTAGCCAATATCGGTGCCAACTTTTTAATAATTAAGGTTGATGCATCATAAATCTCAAGTAATTTTCATGATACATGTATATGTTTTTTGGGATGCTTCTTTGTTTTTTAATTATTTTACAGTTAAAAGACAGGACATAAATCGGACAAAGTTTATTGGTAATTAGAAAATACTACTACTTATTCCTTGTTAAAGCTGTGGATTTTTTTTTCTCTTGAAAGTGCACACCGGGAAACATATTTTTTTCCCCCAGGTTCTGTCCAGAAACTACCGTGCAAAAATTAGGTGACAAATATCGCTTCATTGCTTTTCTTTTCTGGGTTTTTGTTTCACTTGAATAAACACGCTCTTCAAAATGATCACCCAAAACAAATATAAAACATTCAAAAACCCAATGATTTTTCAAGTGCGTTCGAGGAATCAATACAAAAACAAAACATCTATCCCCTTCAGTGCAAATCTCTTCTCTTTCTGGAAAAAACAAAAAAAACAAAAAATATAACAAATGAAGTGCAAACAAACAAATCCCCAAAGAATTCAAGTTAGAAAAAAATACAAGGCAGCAGTGCATAAAAGAGCGAAACAGAAACTACTGTATCGATCTCATCATGCCAGGATCAATCCGATATTGATTATGACTTGGCATTGACATTATCAGTACTTGATCTCAAATTTGCATTTTACAATGGTGAATTCAAATCGAATGAATGAACGGGGTGGAAGTTAAATACACCTTCAAATAAACTCTGCACTAGTTTAGGTTAGTATGTACATTTTTATTTTAGGTAGTTTTATACATTCGTAGTTTTATACATTCATTCATTCATTTTCCGATCTGCTTATCCTCAAGGGTCGCAGGCGGGGCTGGAGCCTATCCCAGCCGTCTTCGGGCAGTAGGCGGGGGACACCCTGAACCGGTTGCCAGCCAATCCGCACTCACACTCACACCTAGGGACAATTTGGAGTGTTCAATCAGTCTGCCATGCATGTTTTTGGAATGTGGGAGGAAACCGGAGTACCCGGAGAAAACCCACGCAGGCCCAGGGAGAACATGCAAATTCCACACAGGGAGGCCGGAGCTGGAATTGAACCCAGTACCTCTGCACTGTGAGGTCGACGCGCTAACCACTGGATCACCGGGCCGCCCTTGTACAGGGGTATTAAACTGGGAAAGTATCGCATTATAAAACCTCAGAAGAAGCTTTTCTAGAATCCGGTGTTTCCCAACCATTTTGCCTTAAAACCATGTAACGGCACACCACCAAGCAAAATTGTAACAATAGGTATATAAACTGAAATAAAGGTGAGCCTGTCTTAATTTAACCCCAAATTGACTTGTTCAGTGTGAAATGTGAGCCCATTGAATTGTTCACAAAGTGAATATGCTGGCAGGAAGCCATGAGTTATGGGATTGAGTGAATGGAATCGGGTGGATACACAAGTTTATTTTTCCTTCTGCCATCTCAGCAAGAACATTTCATTGTTCTTCCTGTCACTGTAAGTTGCTGGCATAGATGGATAGACAAAGATATACAGGTACTGTAGTTGTAATTAATACATAATAAGTATCAGATACATTTTCTGAAATTGAATAATTTCCACAGGACATTCATGATCTCAAAAGGCACTCAAGGTTCGACATAATTGGTTTCCCAAGCAATTCCAAAATTTTATTTTTGAATTTTACAGCTGACCACCTGACAAAGGATTCTTCTCGTGGAATGTATTGTTGTGTAGCCAGTTCTACCACAATATACATGGGCTTGCTGAAAAGGATAAAGCTGAGGCATTCTATGAGAGATGGTCGTGACAGAAGCTTAGATGGTAGTGACAGAAGCTTAACACTAAGGGCAGGTTTGTCATATCAGATTTTCCAAAAAAAAATTCAAATCGATGAATTTCAAAGAGAACTTTTGTAGTTTTGCAGCCCATCAGTCGTCATCTTCACCTGCATCTTGTTTAATGACGGGAATCCCTGGAGACAATGGGAAAAAAAAAAGGCATATTCACTGTACAAAGCAAGCATAGATCAATTGCCATTCCGTTCCTTGTGGGTGAAACTACGTAATTATGCTGGAATCAATCGAATCAAAGTCAGAAAGCTTCATTCGGAGGGTTTGGAGACTCCCCGTAAAATAATACGAGGCCGGAGTTTGAGTAAGCACTGCCTTCAGGAAGTAGGTTCAGTTCGAGTGTGGTGTATAGTATGTGCTTGAGAACATTCTCTATAACTAAAAATGTATGTTTGGTTGTAGACTAAATTATCCAATTGGTGTCATTTCAACATTTTGCCTGAAGTTTTTGAAAACACAGAAAAAGACCTTCTTGAAAAACTGAGTTACTTTCAGCTTTTCCCTGTAGGGGCACCACACCAAGTTCAAGTTCAAGGTCAAGTCAACTTTCTTGTCAAATGCGCTGTATGTGCAACATAGAGCACAGATGACATTTATTTCCTCTCAACCTCAGTGCAAAGACAGGAGAAAGAGAGAGGAGCCGCTGCGGGTGCCCGCGGCGCCATCAACAGAACAGAAGGATAAAGGACACCAAGTCACTTCTATGATATGTGCGGCCCTATTTTTACAGCAGGTAACCTTCCTGACACAACCCACTCTATTTTTATCCAGCCAGGACCCGGCAGTGGTTCTCAATTGGCGTATAAAGGGTCTTGCCAAAGGACCATGCGGATGTTACCGTTCACCCTGTCCAGGGTTTGAACACCGGCCCCATGTCTGAAGTCAGCGGTGTTAGCCACTGAGTCATCCATCCGCCTCCATGAAGAACATTAAAAAAAAGAGATGGAAAGGTTGGGGGCGGGGTTCCACAAATATACATTTGTAGAAGGAATAAACCTTCTCAAAAGAAATGCGTGCAGCAGAAAAAAATTTAGTCTCACTTCCCATTTGAGCGACACTGTATACGGCTTGAGTCTCCATCAGTTCGTTTTCTACATTTGTCCTCATTTAGATGTTTGCCCTGGACTGACTGCCAGGAAATGACAGGGCACATATAAGATAAAACCAATGATTTACACGCTCACTTACAACTATGGATAATTTAGATTATTCAATGAACCTTACATTTTTGTTTTTGAAATGCGAAAGCACAAACATGGTGACAACAACACTTTTGCAGAATATGATAAACACTGATGAAATGTATTCACAACGTGCTTTTAGACAAGTTCAAGGCGGGCAAGCAGCTGGTAAAATTTCATAGAGTGTGGCCTTGCGAAGTCCACTGCACACTACTGGCACTTTTGACAATGTTGCACTCTCTCTATGCATCAATTCAGAAATAACAATCGGTTCTCTTTTGTCGTTCTTGTGTAAATATACCCTTGTTATGTCAAGCTGAAATGTTTTCCTTCCAAAACAAACATTGTGTGTGTGTGTGTGTGTGTGTGTGTGTGTGTGTGTGTGTGTGTTTTGTCAACTTACAGTTCCTTGTAGTAATTCAATGCAAAAATATTTTTTGAATCAGTATAGAAATCTATCATATTTACAAGTTAGATGGCAATCATTTAAATAGATACTGGTGCTGAAATACTTTACCATCCAATTTTGTCAGTCTGGGTAACCTCTTAGTAGCTTCATCCATCCA